ACCCCAAAACTGTGAGTGGCTCAGTTCCTCAAATTGAGCTGCAAGTCTTCTGTACTATGCAGAACTTTCCATTAGAGAATGGCTACGTTAAATGTACCATGCTTTCTCAAATACACATATTCCCACACTGGCGGGCACACACAGTCACGGAGGGCGCCAGGTGCAGGCCTCCACTCCCCCCACCTCCGACCCCCGCTGGAGTAGACAGGATTGCTGAGAGAAGAGCATGGCCAAGCATGCTGGACAAGGCTCAGGCCATTCTAACACCACCTTGCCCCTGGGAAAAACTCACCTCTCAAAGCTTAAGAATTCCTAAGTGTCAAGCAGGCTTACTCTAAATGGCTGTCTTGCCCTGAAAGGTCTCTTTCAGGATGAGTGCTTTGGCTCATCTCCCCCTCAGTATTCGATTCAGCCTGTGCCTTTCCTCATTCATGCAGCGTTCCCTGCATCCATCTGTCCATCGGTTTATAGTCTACGCGGCCTCATGGTTCCATGTCCGTAAGAGCACCTCACTCATTTGTACCAGTTTGGTAGAAAGGATAGTTTGAACCAGTTCATTCAAAAAAGGCCTGAAAACCCACTAGAGGTCTTTAGATCTTTTACCAGGGGCGCCTGGGACAGCTCCATACTCAGAAGAGCAGGGCAGGGAACATTGGCTTTGTAATCAGACAGACCCTGGGTGACCACCGGCACATGAGTGCTCTTGGGCAAACGAGCTAATCTCTCTAATCTTCCATTTACCCATCTGTACGTGACTAGGATTAGACGGCTGTACATGGGAAGCGCCCAGCACAGGGCCAGGCTTGTAACAGACCTGAGTGTCAGTCTCTGGATCTTGGGGCTGCCCCTGGTCCCTGCTCCCAATGCCTGACACCTGCTCTTAGGAAGAGCCACAGAAGAGGGTTTGCCCAGCAGGTGGGAGAGAGTACCAGCCTTGGGGCAAGCAGGCTAAACAGGAGTGCAGAGTCAAGGAGGGAGGCCTGGTGCCTCGGCAAGAGGGTAGCTGCTTCTGGGAAAGCAGAAACGGAGTCCACACCTCTACCTGGTGCCCTCTCCACTAGGAGGTACTGGGGAAGGTACCAGATAATTCCAGCCAGGACAAACAGAGCAGGTGGGCACTGCCTGCCAAGGGGTCTGAGTGGTGTGGATTTTGGAGGCAGGGCTGCACCGGGCTCTCTGGCAGACCCATCGCCTAGAAGCCATACAGTCCATTGGTCTAGTAATGACAGAGACCTGAGTTTATATCTTCAATTTGCGAGTTACTAGCTGTGTACACATGAGGCTATTATTTTGGTTGTGGTCCTCAGTGTTCTCATCTATAAAACAGGGATAATACCCACTTTTGTAGAGCTGCTATGAGGCCCAACAGCTGTCGTGTATGTTGGGATGTATGCACACACAGAACTCAGTCCATAGCATGGACTTTGTATTGGCCCATACCCAAGCCATTCCAAAGAGACGTCTGACTAGCAAAAGAAATAATTTTAAGGTACAAACGCCACCATCTTCAGTGGACTATCGGAGCCAAACCTACTTCCTTTTGGTTTACAAGTAAAACCCTCTCAGGTCCCAAGAGAATAAGCCCGCAGTCAGAATGAAAGGGGTAAAGGGCATCAGAGTCACTGAAGCATATTTCTCACCCCCAAATTACACGGTACAGGTTGGTCATGTGGATTCTGATCTGAAGGATGGGCATGGGGGTGGGTCTCTTATAGTAAACAACCGAGGGCTCTTAAAAAATACTCAGCGGAAGCATGGACCACATCACAGAGAAGCAGAGGCAGACCTTGCTTCGAGAGCAAGCTCATCTCTAGAACAAACTGACGAAGCTTCTCTGCTGGTGAGTCATTTGTCTTCTCTTTAATATTTGAAAGAAGACAGGGAGTCTAACCCCATGTATTGTTGGGGTTGTCAGGTTCCCGCGTGCAGCAGGGCACGATGCAAAATATCCAAGCGAGAGGGCCTAACTGCTCTTCTTTTTTTTTTTCTTTCTTTTTTTTTTTTTTTTTTTCTTTCTTTTTTTTTTTTTTGAGACAGAGTCTCTCTGTTGCCTGGCTAGAGTGCTGTGGTGTCATTGTAGCTCACTGCAACCTCCAACTACTGCACTCAAGCGATCCTCCTGCCTAGCCTCCCAAGTAGCTGGGACTACAGGTGTGCATCATGATGCCTAGCTAATTTTTTCTATTTTTTAGTAGAGATGGGGTCTCGCTTTTGCTCAGGCTGGTCTTGAACTCCTGACCTCAAGCAATCCTCCCGTCTCGGCCTCCAGAGTACTAGGATTACAGGCATGAGCCACCGCACCCAGCCTCAACTGCTCTTGATTCAAATCTATCACTGACATTTGCTGCTGTGAGAGTTAAATTAGAGAAATGTGAAAACTGCTGAACATGAATTTGGGGCACACAGTAAGTGTTTATAAGGTGATGGTCCTGCTAGCAGTGGCATAATCAGGCATACCCAGGGAGATAGGGAGAGTCTAGTCATTGTATTTATTCACTGAACAATCTCTGTTTTCATTTCTTTTGCATTTTATAAGGCAAACTATTATTGCAGATTATCATCTACATTTTTTTCAATAAAATCAATATGCTACTACAGAAACTTTGTAAACTATAGAAAAACATAAAGGAAGAGAGGAAATAAGTCACCCATAACTCCAACAACCAGAGGCCAAGTGCTGATAAAATTTGGTCATTTTTCTATATTTTTAAAAATAAAGTCAAAATCTTATAGTTTATCATGGATGCTTAAACAAGGGTCCACAGAATATGTGGCAGAGGGCTTCAAGGGGCTCATGAACCCCCAGAATTGTAGGCCTCTGTGTATGTGTACATTCTATCTGAGAAAAGGTCTGAAGTTTTTATGAGACTCTCAAAGGAGTTTATAACTTAAAAAGGTTAAGAATCACAGTGAATTTTATATCCTTTTTGCCATTTATTGTAATAGTAATTAGCTAATACTTATTTTGCTTATTTACTTTGTGTTACACTGTTCTGAGCAATTTAAATGTATTGCATTTTCCAAAATCATTAAAAGTGCTTCCTAAATATTTCAGTCATATTCCATTTTATGTCTGAATTATAATTTGCTTCATTATTTATTATCAGACTTTTACAATATTTCCAAAGTTGTATGTATTACCTTTTTAATTGTCAGAAATCAACATAGAATTTTGATTATAAAAGATAAAGAAATGAATGTTTTTAACCTTTTCTAGAAGGGAAAGTAATTTTTGATACTCTATCTGCACAGAATTGTCCAGTCCCAATCTGCTAACATAATACTAAAGTTTACCAATTATTACAAATCAACGTGCACAGATCCTCCGAGGAAACATGCAATGCCAGCATAAGGGTCCAGCAGAAGCTGGAATAGGAGGATAACAAAAAAGGCAAGAGTAAGTCAAGCAATAACAGAGAGCTGTATGTTATTCAAGCAAAGCTGAGCCTCCTGTTTCGTATTTTAAATGATGAAAAAAAATGTTTTTGTCCCCATGTGAAGGGATAACATACACATCATCACCTGACCTACTTAATCTAACACCCCAGAAAGCCTGTGGGGCAGGAGGCCTACTGGCTGACCTATCACCCTTAGAGACCTAACATTTGTGTTTAAGGGGTAGGGACTATTTATTGAGTAGTCTTACCCCAAAGGCAAGACCCTTCCTTTCTGGAGAGAAGGGTGCTTTGGCCCCAGGAAAGACCGAGGCAGGCAGTGGCACCAGGGCTGAGTCTAGCTAGAACTCAACATCTAGGGACGAAGTGTTTCTGTATGGATTAGGAGAGATGACCTTACCTTTTGTATGCCCTTGTCTGGCCAGGCAATATTCTGACTTTGCTAAACCTTGTAGAGATTCTGTCCAAACACCTGCTCTTCTTAAAACATCTTGAGGTCTGTTGGGATATGGCCCCCGGCCACTGAAACGAGCTGCTACGTGTTGAATATCCACAGGTCAGTGGCAAGGATAGGGCTGGCACTCTTGGGCTAATGCTGCAGCTGCCCCTGCTCCTGTGCTTCAGGTTACATCACCCCATGTCCTCTCTGTGGTCCTCTGCAGGGTCACAGGGCAGAGGGACAGGCAGAGAAAAGTGACATCTTGAAGGGCTGAAGTGCTGAGCAAAAAAGGCAGTCATTTGGTCTTTGCTACAAGCCTCACTGCATCTGCCACCCCGTTTCAATCGGGTCTTCCATTTATTAAAGGAAGCCCCTAATTCCTAAACTGCTAATCACAGAAGCTAAGGCAATGTCTCCTTCTGGGAAAATCTACCTTTTAAGAGACTCCTGAAGACCAAGAAGTCTTCGGGAAATGAGGCACTGATGGTGGAATGTCATAAACTGTGCCAGATGACAAAGGGCAAAGTGTGGATGGGACGGGAGAACTGCCCAGTTCCCTTCCGTGAAGCTCGCTCAGCCACAGTGCTGGGCAGCATGGGCTTGTCTATGCCTTGCTTCCCCATCAGTTGCCTTTTTAAACCTATGCAGTTGAGGGGAAGAAAAGGCAGGAAGGACTTACCGCCCAGGCAGAGAAGTCCTTGTCATCCCCCAAACACCATGGTCTCCAGGAGTCTCCTTGACAGTAGGGCCTCCGGAAGGGGTGCCTGCTTTAGCTTTCACAATTTAACAGACAAGGCTGAGGATGGGTGGGCAATTGCAGTCAGGTATGATGGGATGAAGACAGGCCCTCCCCACTAATGAGCAGTGCTGTTCTTCCACAAGCCACTTGCCCATTTGACCACAGGGTGACTTCTGCTTTCAAAATAATTGAGCGCAGGATTTTATGGAATATGTATGGCGGTCAGTTAGGAGTTGTCGCCCAGATAGGTGAGATCCTGAAAATTTTAGGGCTAACAAAGAGTCCCTTATCCTGTCTGAGAAATTTCCCCTCAGAAGTGGCTAGCTTCAGTATAGTGGACCTAAATCCAGTGGGTGGGTTTAGGAGATGGGTATTTTCCCCCACATGTGGTCAATGGGACAGTGGGAAGACGGGGAGTGTCGCCCTCAGCCCCACATATGATTCTTGGGTTTTGACTACAGGTGTTCATCAGAACAGACACCATGGAGGAGTATGACGACTATGAAGACCCTGGGTTCTTCAATAGTTCCAGTGACAGCAGGCAGGAGCATAAACACTACCTGCAGTTCAGCAAGATCTTTCTGCCCTGCACGTACGTGGTGGTGTTCGTCTGTGGTCTGGTGGGGAACTCCCTGGTGCTGGTCATATCCATCTTGTACCAGAAGCTGAAGAACCTGACAGACGTGTTCCTGGTGAACCTGCCCCTGGCTGACCTGGTGTTCGTCTGCACTCTGCCCTTCTGGGCTTATGCAAGCATCCACGAGTGGGTCTTTGGCAACGTCATGTGCAAGACCCTACTAGGCATCTACACTATGAACTTCTACACATCCATGCTCATCCTCACCTGTATTACTGTGGATCGTTTCATTGCAGTGGTTCAGGCCACCAAGACTTACAACCAGCAGGCCAAGAGGATGATCAGGGGCAAGGTCATCTGCTTGCTCATCTGGGTGATCTCCCTGCTGGTTTCCTTGCCCCAGGTCATCTATGGCAATGTCCTCTATCTTGACAAGCTCATCTGTGATTACCACGATGAGGAGATTTCCACTGTAGTTCTCACCACCCAGATGACACTGGGGTTCTTCCTGCCACTGCTTGCCATGATTGTCTGCTACTCAGTTATAATCAAGACCCTCCTTCATGCTCGAGGTTTCCGGAAGCACAGATCTCTAAAGATCATCTTCCTGGTGGTGGCTGTGTTCCTGCTGACTCAGACGCCCTTCAACCTCGTGAAGCTCATCCGCAGCACAAGCTGGGAGTACCACGCCATGACCAGCTTTCATTATGCCATCACAGTGACGGAGGCCATCGCATACCTGCGGGCCTGCCTTAACCCTGTGCTATATGCCTTTGTTGGCCTGAAGTTTCGGAAGAACTTCTGGAAACTTGTGAAGGACATTGGCTGCCTCCCTTACCTTGGGGTCTCACATCAATGGAAGTCTTCTGAGGACAATTCCAAGACTTATTCTGCCTCCAACAATGTGGAGGCCACCAGCATGTTCCACTTGTAGGCCTTGCCGGGGCTTGGAGAAGCTGCTCTGGAATTTACAGGAGCACGGCTGTGTCCTCTGGATACGACGAGGAAGGCTTTGTTTATAGCTTATGCATTCTCCTGGAGAAGTAATCAAATGCTCTGGCTGGTTCCGAACGCTGCTTCTCATACACGAACATAATCTGTTCTTTTCTAGAACATCCATGCCTAAAGCTCAAAGGAAGGTCTAAAATTTTTAAGGGCTTGATGAAACCAAGGGGCTAATGTATGACTCTTAAGATTTCAGGTTCTCCTTTACTGGACATGGAGCTGAAGGTTGAAGAAGAAGTGAGCAAACAAAGCTGTTGACGGTTGCTGGGGTCCCAAGTACAGAGGACTCTTCTGACTACTGGGCAAGCAGTGGAGACGAGGGCAGCCATGAGCACAGGTGCCGGCCTACATGGCTCAGACTCAACCAGCAGGCACCCAACAAGAATAAGAGCAGGCTCTGCCTCGCCTTGGCATTTGACTGTTGTGTAGGTTGATGTTCTCTTTGATTCATCCTGAAAGGACTAGTACCGGGGACTATAAATGGGCCAGAGCAAATTAGAGTAGGCTGAGAATTCCAGTGGTCCATGGAATGCTTGAAAAACGTGCAAAATAAATACACAAAGAGTGCGATGTACACCATCCGGGGGATGGACACGCTTGAAGCTTGGACTTGGAGGGGGAGGGGGGGCAAGGGCAACATATGTAACCTAAACATCTGTACCCCCATAATATGCTGAAATTAAAAAAAAAATGTGCAGAATAGAGTTTGAGACCATAATGAATCTAAGCAGCATTTTTGAAGTGGACTCTTGTTGGCTTTGCTCATTTAAAAATGGAATTATCTAATGCCTGCCACATACACGTATATACATGTGTATACACATAGATTGACACACATACATATATATTATATAGCATGTAAGTTTCACAACTAATAAATAAAACTTTTTAAAAGTCTCCAAACTATTTTTACCCTTAGGCACATTTTACTTTAATGTGGTATGCCTGGAATATACCAAAAATGGTTACTTCTGGGCTCAGAGCACAGGAAATATGTTAAAATTGTAAACTTTTAGGACAGTGGTCTATAAAGGAAATGGAATATATCAGTAATAACAACCCTGTTCTTTCACTGTGGCTTCTAACCTTCTGCCCAAAGTGTGTTCAGCTTCTATAATATGGTCACAGGATGAGGTAGTTTTAAATGTCACGCTTTTATGCATATCTATTAGATCCTGGCAATCTGTTCAAAAGGCTTAAAGATATTTTTTGGGCTTATGCATCTCAAAATCACTCACCAAAATATGGAGAACCAATTGACAACAGCTAAGTAGAATGCAGACAGGCAAGCCAGAACTGGCTTTACAGTGTGGCTTTGGGGGCTGGACAGACTAGAGTCAAATCCCTGCCACTCATCGATTATTAAGACCTTGGGCAAATCTCTTAGCCTCTGAGCAGCCTCTGTTTCCTTCCTTTTTGGGGAAACATGGATCATAACAGTACCATCTCTCAGGGTTGGTGTGATATTGCAGACAAAACACTTGGCACGGTTTGCATTTTGGGGTAAAAAAGGTCCAAAAATAGCATAAGTTATTATTTTTTACAAGACTAGTGACACAAAATGGAAGCCCTCTGTGTCAGCCCTGTGGGTTGGCGAGGCGAGGGAGGGTTTGCATCATGCCTTCCAGAGGTGTGTGGCATGCCACATGCACGCTGGTGAGCTGAGCACAGGCCAGGCCTTGCGGGGCGCCCCCCACAGGTTCCTACCTACTGTTTCATAAACCGCCTAAACGCACCCATGAGGAGAGTTTCTTTACTGTACTCAGGCCAACAGACCCCCAGTGTTTCCTCAAACAACAAAATCTGCCCTTTTCAGGGTGAAGAGGATGATGTTTATCTTCTTTTAATTGGTTGCTAAAGGGGAGTTTCTGTCATCACCCCTTTGTGGATTCATCTTAATGTGGAGCACTTCTGACAGAAGGGCCACCAGTCCCTGGCTTCCTGGCCGCGTACCAGGCCAAGAGACAGAGGCCTAAGTGGGAAGGAAGACGTAAAGAGTCAGGAGACAGGGGCCCTGTGGCATCTCCACAAGTCCCCATGGAGGGAAGGGATGATGGGAAGGGTGGGGTGATGGGAATGCAGGGCTCCGGGCTCACTCCGACAGTGCTCAGTGACCGCTCCACCACCGTACGCCCCTGGGCGAGTGACGCAGCCTCCCCAAGCCCTGGTTCACCACCTACACCAGTGGCTCACGATGGCTCTCCCTCCTGGGGTGCTTGCGAGGCACGGACAGTGCACTCCAAGGGCTGCGCTCAGGGCCTGCCTGGCCACAGCAACAGAGGGGAGCTGCTCAGACCACCAGGCTTCCACCGACCACGTGGCTGCCCCCTCCCGCACCGCCCTGTGAATAGGTTCTGCGCTGGCCCTTCTGCAGCTTAGGCAATCTCTGTCTGCCTGGCCCTAGGAACAGCACAGCAGTGGAATCCTCCTTCCGCTTCCCTGCTTCCTCAGCCACGCACTGGCCCCACACTCTCTGGGCCCTTACCTCTGCTCTTTGAAGTGGATACCATCTTCCCAACCCCTCCCCTGGGTCTAGTCGTGCTTGGCAATAAGCACTAGTGCAGCACATGCCGGAGACAGGCAGGGGCCTTCACATCGTGACCTAATGCCACCCATAGCCCAGGCAGCAGAAGGAACTACAGGCACAGGCTCTACTCCACAGAGGAGGAGACTGGGCCCAGGTGTGGGACAGAGCCAGCTCCTGACCTCAGACCCACTCTTCTCACCCCTACTCGGCTCTTCCCTCCACTCACACACCCCAGCACATGGCGTCAGAGGCCGGGGCACATGGGAGGACTTGGGGAAGGGAGGTCAGGCTGGGAATGGACCCTGCTTGAGTCTGGAGTGCCCTGGTGTGGCCTCTGGGTTGGAGTGGTAAAGAATGTGTTCCCCTCCCCCACCAAGTTCCCAATACCTGGCGGTGGTCGTGGTGCTTATGAGCGCAGCCCCATTTAGAGGCATGGCAGAGACCACAGATGGCCACATCATCTGAGACGTGGTGACTGCAGGATGACACTGGTTCCAGGGGCCACCTGGGAGCTAGAAGGCCAGGTGTTCTCAGTGAGCACACTGGAATGAGGAGATGGTGCCATAGGAGAGAAAAGCCTGAAGCTGCCCCTAATGGAGGGTGGAGCAGAGCCAAGAGCATGGGGCCCAGGAGTGGTCAGGGTGGTCACTCTGGCTTTCTCCTCCAAGGGGGTCTCAAGACAGCACCCGCTTCCAGCTGCCCAGTCCTTCTTGGTCCATGGTAACTAATGCTATTTTTTAGGAGGCCTGGCCTTGTCATCCCCATTTTTCAAATGAAAAAACCAGTTCAGAGAAAGTAATACCTGCCAAAGCTCACGCAACAGAGATAGGGCTACAACTCCAGTAAACAGCCTCTTTCTCTGCCTCCAAACACTGGCAACTGAGACGGTTAATGTAGCTGACAAGCCGCAGGGTACCTGCCAATTCTGTACTCATCTGCAAGTGGAGATTCTGGGCTAACCCAAGCACAAGTGGCTTTCTAACCTCAACCATTATCACCATATCCTGTTCTCACTTCGTTTCTGAGATAGCAGGCACTGAACCTCCTGGTAGGTGACGACAGATCCACCACAGCTCCCCTGGAGCACCCTGGCCATGAAGCCCCGGGTCTGAAGCAATTACTGGAAAGATGCTCTGTGGGTTCAGGGACAGTCTCTGTAGGCAAGTATAAGGTCACTTTGTGTCATCCAGGTGTCTGAAGCAATTTTCCTTGGAGAAGACGACTGGTCTACGCAGTGCAAGGTACTGGCATGCAGCAGGGGACAAGCAAGGCTCAGCCCTGACACTGCGACTCGGGGTCGAACACCATGAAAACAACACAACTCCACAAAAGCCTCCCCAGCTATCAGGCACTGGGTTCAGTGCTTCACACACAGGGTTTTCATCTAATCTTCCTGACAACCCTAGGGGGTGGGGAACTGAGATCAGGGGGTGCCCTACCCTGAGCTGCGGAGCTGGAAGGTGGCAGACCGGGGATCTGACCAGGCGTGTCTGATGCTGGAGCTCAAGCTCTTCACTGCCAAACAGTCTGTTTGTCTGGTAGCCAGTGGGGGAGGCCAGGCCTCGAGGAGGCCATGATGGGGGGAGGCTGTGCAGAGGCCAAGGCAGCCAAAGCCCAGCACCCCTGCCCCACCTCCCAGCCTGACTCATCAGCTGACAAGAGCTTGGCTCCTTCTCTGCCTGCCACCTCAGTCCTGAGAACAGCCGGATGCCTGGGCAGTGGAGAAGGCTGAGGGTGGGCCTGGCTGAGTGAGGGAGAGGTGTGCATGTCTGGAGGGCTCTGAAGATTATCATCTTTACCCAGAGGTGAGGGGCTGTGCCATTCTAGCTTTGAGCCACACACAGGGCACCACTGGGAGGTCACTTAAGGGGTCCACAGCATCCTGCCAAGTCTCCCTGCCAGGCTGGACTCTGGGACCTCTTTCTGTCCCATCTCTGCCAGGAGGGCAAGGGCAACAACTTCCTTAGCCCTGGGAATGTGTATGTGTGTGGAGGGTGAACTTGGTGGCAGGGGAGAGGGGCAGATTTTTGATGGGCAAATGGGACACGGGGAGGAGAGAGTGGAACTCTTCCAAATCAATCTCAAGCCAGCGGACTGGAGGGAGGAGTTCTGGGTCCAAAGCCTAGTTGTGACACTTATAATAACATGACAAGTTATCTGGCCTCCTGAGGCTCACCTTCTTTCCCTGTAAAATGGGATAATAACCCCTCCTCCTTGAAGGGCTGGCGCGGGGACTAAGCGAGGTCGTGTGTAAGAGCGGCTGGTACAGCGAAGGTGTTCAGCACAGTCACTTTCAACAACGCCAAGCAGCCTTATTCTCCCCATGGATTTGGACTTAAACAGTGTTTAATTCCTCCTGGATCACTTCTTACCGTGGATTCGCTTATTTTTTTTTCTCTAAGTTTCTTGCCAGGGGTCCTTATCCAGATCCAGGGATCTAGAACTCCCATACTTTCTCAGACTCTTGGTGTTGTTGATTGATCTTAAACTCAGGAAGAAAAAGAATATAAGAAAAGCTGCCGGTGATGCTTAGGCTTATCACTAGCTAACGCACAAAAAAGCATCCGACGATGCAGCTTTTAACTGACTTGAGAAGGTGGCTCTTCACCCAAACAGATGAAACGCAGGGATTACAGGTTCCCATCGGTCAGTCCCAGATCTGCCTTAGAGCCCTCGGGCCAGCACGCTGGCAGTTTCCTTTCCCTGGAACAGTTCCTAATTTCCCAAGGCCAAAAACACACGTATTTGTCAGTAGTCAGAATGCCTTCTGCTTTTGTTCCTACTGGGAAAGGGGAAGGTGGGGGTGAGGAGAGAGGGAGCTGCAGGATGGTCACATTCTCATGCAGGCTACAGGAGGCGGCGAGACACTTTCAAACCAAAGGCTTCCCCTCAGACCCCTGGCTCCTGGTCCTGCTCACCTGGCCACCTACCCATCTGGCTTGCCAGGGGATGAAGGTAGAGTGTGGCTCACTGCTAATGGAACCGAACATGGCCTGAGGACCACTGGGCCATGGGGTCGGGGAGAACACTGAAGGCTTACACGGTCCGGGAAGGCTTCAGAGGGGGG